TTTTGTAGTTGAAATCTCTGATAAATTCACGAAGTGGGCATTTACTGTGTTAGTAAGTTAGAGAGGTCTCTCAGCTCCACTGTAAGGCAGAGTTGGCATTCTATTGAAACAGAATGAGGGGTCTGAATAGACCCTGAGTCAGTCCAGTCCAGTCTCTCCTAAACCTTTCCTATATCTTATCTGTAAAAGCATGTGGACCTCCTTAGGCAAAATAAACCAACAAAGTAAACACACAAGCCAACTTTATTTACTTCCCCAACTCTCTTCTTTTCATCCAAATATTTCATCCAAGTATTTCACCATCTTTGTTTCCACTTCTCCTTCATCCTTCAGCCAAATGAAATTCAGCTTATTCTCAGAGTCCTCTCCCCATCACCATGATCTACTACCATAGACGCCTGAGCCACAGATGTCCCAAAGCCAAGTGCAATGAACAGTCCTTCAGTCTTTATCTTACTGCTGCACTTGATGCAGTTGATCAAGCCTCATTCTGGAGACCCCCTGCTGGCCTCAAGCCTCTGTTCCTTTTTAGTCTCTTTCCTATCAATTTCACTCTCCTGCTTGAACCTCTCCAGTGGCTCCCCAGGACCCAGAGGGTAGGTCCAATCATCTTAACATGATATGCAAAGCCCTGTGTGACCTGGCTCTTGCCCACTGCCCAGCTTCTTCTCCCACCACTCCCTGACTCCCGGAGATTATCATGCTGTTAGCAGCAGCCAATCGGAGCTTCTATTCTCCCGCTCATTGCACTTAATTATCACTCTCTTCTCCAATCTATATTGCCTAGGAATACTGTTTTGTTTTCATTATTCAGTGTTTGTTTTATTGTCTACCTTTGTGGCAAATTCTATTGAAATCATATAAAATTCCCCTTAAAATAAATTCATTTACGTTAAAAAGGCGATTGAGTTAAAGAAAGAAATGATTAATACAGGTGATGTGGATATAACAAAAATTGTGGAGGTGGAATGCGAATACTCCACAAATGCCATGGAGCTCACATTGAATCTTCCATCACTACCACATCTTGTTTCTGAAACACACTGGTAGTCTTATTAGGAAAACCTCATTCAGGTCCTTCTTCTGAGAAGGTAATATGCATTAAGCTTCTTTAGGGTCACTCACACTTAGTTATTGACTACTCAATATTATTCTCTTCCCCTTGACTTTGTGGAGCTCTGCACAGTTGAATGCATGAAAATCCACAATGCCATTGACCCTTCCTTTCTATCAGAGATTTCTTTGAAAAAGTTGAACTATTCCACTGACACATTCTGACAATGAAACATGTCCTTTTCTTTGTGATTGAATTTACTTCCCCGCTTTGAAACCCAAGTCCACTTTGCTTATCATTCCTATTTTATGCATTGGTACCCATCAACTATGAGAGCCATTCTCATCTATCCTCCAACATGAGAAAGTCAGTGAACAGAAGAGGGTCTTCCTAGGCCCAGGGGCAGTGGAGTAGCAATAATAGTAGGTGGGCACTCCAGGCAGTGCTTCTGGAGTAATCCAAGATGTCACTACAGTCCGTTGATAGCTGGAAAACCGTATTGGAAACACAAGAAGATATCTCCCTTCCTTCTCAACCAAATTGAGCCCAAACAGAGGAATTTTAAGTGGTGTAAGAGAGGCTTTATCAAAGATCAAGTGTTTGCTTCAGATATATACCTGGTGGACTGAAGAAATACTTGATCCATAGATCTGTGGTCTGCAAAGTGGAATGCACACGCAGAAAGATTTAGAGATTGCTGCCATGGAAAACTAAGGTAACTCTCCAGTAGTGTACCCCTAAGATTTAAACGAACACCATCTTCTTCCTCTGTCACCTTTTGGTCATCTATGGCGTAGAGTTTTCCGCATATCTATGTGTGTATTTTTCTAACTCCCCATTAAATCACTGCTTACAATGTCTTCTTCTGCCTTGGAAAACGGAGACCAGGTAGTTCAGACTGTCTCACTGAATACAATTTAAGAGGGGAACAAGAAAAAAAAAAGCCTCCTTAAAAGTTCAAAGAGCTTATAAGATACCGAAAACTACTGGACCAACATCCAGGAGAGGCTAGGAACTCGAAGGTGCACAAAGTCTTTGGGACCCTTCGTTCTGTGGGAGCGTTTGCTAATCTGGAAGGGGTGGCTGAGGGGTTTAGGGCATTTTGCCAGCCTCTCAGAGATGGAGCACAGGAGTGAGAACCTGGTTCCTGCCTCTGATGGGACCCCCAATAAGTCACTCCTACTGGGGACTGGGTCCCTAAAAGGCTTCGTCTCACTAGTAAGGAAAACGGGGGAAACTCTCTCCCCCATCTAGTGTGTCACTTCACTTCATATCAACAGAGAGTCTCAAAATACCTTAAGGCTTAAATTTGGATTAAGATGGGCCAGAGCTATGAGGTTAAAATGCCCTCTGGAATCTAGAAAAAGAAAATAAATATCCTCTCTGGAGGAGGAGAACATCACCCTATAAACCTCAAATTACTTCAACAAAGATAATTACGAAATCTCCAAATACTTGGAAATTCAGAGATGTACTTCTAAATAATCTGTGCATCAAAGAAAAAAAACCCAGAGAAAATTAGAAAATATTTTAAACTAAATGACAACCAACCTACTATATAACCAAACTTTTGGGATGTAGCTCAAACAATACTTAGAGGAAAATTCACAGCCATAAATACATGTATTAGAAAAGAAGGAAGACTAAACATTAATGAGCTGATAAACATCTCAGGAAGATAAAAAACAAATAGCAAAATAAAGTAGAAAAAAAGCAAATAATAAAGAGAAGAGAAAAATTTGATGAAAGAGAAAACCTATGTTTCATTTTCAAAGCTCTGTATTACACCTTGGCTATCATGGCGAAGTTCCTCCTTTTTTTTTGCTCCATGACGTGCCCCCATTATTAGCTGCCTTACCACTGGTTTCCACGTCTTTAACTTTTTCTTCCTGGCTTCTCTGGAAGTACTTAGGGGTCCTTTATCTCTCTAACAAAACAGTGCTCCTATGGCGCCATATGCAAGGAAGTCAGGGGCTGCGTGCCTCCAGCCTGGAGATAAACAGGCCACACATCCTATGGGTCAGGAACAGCCAGAGCAAGGTCCAGGCACATCAACTTTAGGATAAGCTGTGTTGTCTTTTGGAAATAAGAAACCAGTTTCCATCACCAGCACCCCAAACTGTTGGAGCAAATGGTATTTTCTAACTAATCATATTTCCTCTGGCTTAAAACGTCTTTTCATTCCTGCACTGCTCAATCTTTCTGGGATGCTTCTCTCCCCTCCTTCTTCCTGAGATAGTGTCTAGGTGGATGAAAATCCGTGGGATGTTAGCAGAGGTGATTCTGGCCCACACACTGGCCCGAATCTTTCCTGTATCTGATATCTGACTGGTGAATTTGTGAAGGTTTGCTGATCAACGTCAAGACCTGCTCATTGGCCTTGGGTAATTCAAGGCTTGGCTGGAACTGCCACTGGATCGCAGCTTAGGTGATCTGGCCAAAGCCTCTCATTCAGGATCACTTTGTCCCTCACTTGAGGAGACCACCCTACCTGCGCCTACAGTGAGCTGTCCAGCATGCATCTTGAGCTATCTTCCATATCCGCCACGAGTGCAAATGGAAGTTCAGGCTCCAGGGAACCGGGATGCAAGCTAGCTCTCTGCTCAGCACCTCCCGCAGACGCTGCCAGCCAGGGCGAGAGCAGCAGCATGCTGACTTCAGGGATTCCACCCCCACCGCACCACACCCCAGCCCCACAGGTCAGTCTCAAAGTGTGAGGGGGGTCAAGGGTACTCACCTTGATATTTTCTCCCCACCCGTGGTAGTCCATCAGATGGTTTCCCTTGCTTCCCCCTTCTTTGTGTTCAAATACGTCCCCTCCCCTGAGCCATGTCTGCCCTCCCCTTCTCTAGGGAAATAACCCTCAACTTAGTGGCCTGGTCCTGATGGCAGAAGGACTTTAGAGGCGAAAGAGCTAATGACTCAGAAGGGAAAATACAGTGAGAAATATTTCCTAAAATTTCCCCCACTACGCATATTCGTGCCCACTACAGTTTCGCCCACTACACATCTCGTCCCCACTACACATATTCAAGGGGTGGCTTAATTCCAGGTTCTTTTTCCCTAGTGGTCTGTTTCCAGCTCTGGAAACATTCCAAAGGTCTGGTTCAGAGCGCTCGTCGGCAAAGAGCCAGGACATTATCATCATCCGTATTCACAGTATGCATATCTGCCAGGGACGATATGTGCATATGAAGTTACGTATTATCGCCAGTGGCACACATACGTGACACTTACATATTTTGATTAAATTCTTTTAAGCTTTTAATTTTTTATTGCATATTGGCTTATAGCATTGTGTAAATTTCAGGTGTACATTATTATATTCCAGTTTCTGTATAGACTGCATCGTGTTCACCACCAACAGTCTAGTTTTTATCCATCACCAGACATATGTGTCCCTTTACCCCTTTTCCTTACCCCCGATTCCCTTCCCTTCTGGTAACCACCAATCTGTTCTCCTTATCTATGTGTGTGTGTGTTTGCTTATCTTCCACACGAGTGAAATCATACAGTATTTGTCTTTTTCTGCCTGAGTTGTTTCACTTAGCATAGTACCCTCAAGGTCCATCCCTGTTGTTGCAAACGGCACACTTTTGTCTTTTTCATGGCTGAGTAGTATTCCAGTGTATAAACCCAGGAAGCACATTGCCCCAGTCCGCTGTCCACTTCTCTAGTTGGTGTAATGCCCCCTCCAGAGCATGTTAAACAGTTACCTGCCTGACTCTTCAGCAACTGTGACTTCGTTTCAAATATCAAAGGGACTCTAAATTGATCTAATACGCAGATTTGTGTAATTTTTGCATTCCTCCCACAACTCAAGAAAATCGAAGGAAGGGTTCATCTTTTTTTTTTCTGGTGTGTCCATCATAAAGCTGTCACTCTTTTGCATACACTTTCATGGTAATGAGCAAAAAGCAGCAAGGAAGTAAAGCTGAGGACTTGCCTTGAGCTCACTGGTGTCAGCCAGCTTGGCTTTAAGCTGAGTGTTCAGTTCTTGACACACGCTCAGCTCTTTCTGCAGCCTCTCCACCTTCTTCTGTAACTTCCTTATGGTCACATTGGCCTCGTCCCTCTCCGCGGCCAGGGCCGTCCGCACCTGCCTCTCTTTCTCCAGCTGGGCTATTTTCTGCCGGAGCAGGTTCATGTGCAATTCTTTGCTCTCCAGTCTTTCTTTCTGAGTCTTTAGCTGGTTTGATACAAACAGGGATTTTTTTCTAATAATAATTGAACAGTCAGTAAATATAAATGAATTACTCAGATAATGCTGATCTTTATCTAGACTTCAATAAGACTAATTTGGAAAGCATCAGAAAAGGTTATTGGATTCCTTTTCCTGATTGCATTTTTCATTCCTATTTTTCCAAGAATTAATTTTGTAGCTGCAAAGTATGAGACAAAAGAGCCACCGAAAATGCACAAAGCAGCAGGCTTTCAACATCTGATTCCCTCCAACAATTTGTGCAGCGTGATAAAAATGTAAAATTACTTTTCAAACTACTGAAATGGGCTTATCAAGAGAAGAATATAATAAGACAGAGAGACAAAATCCTCTTTAACAGCCCAAGGCAACTATGCTTGCACCGGTCTTTTCTGAAGGAAGACAGGGTGCAAATTATTACTGAAAACCTAGACTGACTAATTTCAGTCCTTTAGAACCAGACTGAGAGGCACCAAGTGTGAGAGTGGATATCTTTTTAAAGTAAGCTATACCAAAGAGATTTTTAAGAAAGCTTTGTTTATATGTTTAAAATCTTAGAAATCGAAGGGACTTCAAGAAGGGTCTAGTTCACTGGTGTCTTTATTATAGGACGGCCTATACCATCCACCACCCAAGCAGAGAACAAGGTTTTCAAACAGCACTTATCATTGACGATCAAACTTGATGAAGGAAATTATAGTGAGTTTTAGCAAAACATTATGGACTCTAACAAGGAAAAAATTCTTCCTGGGTTTCACATGTCACAATTAGTGAGTGGAATATTAAGTACAGAAACCTTTCATCTGTCACAAACATTGGGGATTGGAATTGTGTACAATTACAGAAGCCCTGAAGACTGTCACATTTTCCCTAATTATACTCTTTGCATTTATAAAGTGTTCGGAGGTGTGACAGACTTACCGAAATGAGGGCTTAAGTACCTTGCTTAACAGTGACAGCAATGTCCATACCCAGATCCATTTTTAAGAGGCTCTTTTAATATTTTTCTAATAAACTCCCTTCTTTGAGCTTCTCCATGTCAAATTCCACTCTATTGTAAATGTACACTGGTAAGTTCTGTACACTGGTAATTTTAATAATGACACAATGCTTAAGATGGAATGGTGTTCAACATGGAGAAAAAATCAATTATCTGACGAGAACTTCAGAAAGAATTGTGGCTCAATTTGATGTCTCCAATGGTAATGGGGTTGTCTGCTTTCTTTTATAAAATATTCCCAAAGATACGGTAAATGGAGAAGAGGTCAAATGTGAATAGAACATCTTTTATGTGCCAAGAGTTCAAAAATGTTATTTATTAAAAATTAACAATCTCTTGAGGTAGGTATTATCCCCATCTTAAATATGAGGAAACAGAGACAGAGAGGTATGCAATTTGCCCAAGGTCACACAGCTTGGTGGAGCCAAATTGGGAACCCAGATGTGAACCATTACACAGCCTGCACACTATAATTCTACCATAGAATTTTCTCTTAGGAACTATTATAAGAACACATCTGTGTTTTCCTCTTTCTTTCCCAATACTAATAATTATATAACTAATAATTATATTTTCATCCATTCATTCATTTAGTCTAAACTGTTTCTAACTCTTCCTTTGAGCGAGGAAAAAGTAAGCTCTTCTCCTCTTTCTACTTTATAGCGCAATAGAGTTTATAAAGGCACAGCCTGCTACATGTTCCCATTTTCCTTTTCTCCCCTAGTAATAGAAACAGTGAATTTTTCAGCCAGGGAAATGGCTGGCCAGAGTGAAGGCTACAGTTTCAAGCCTCCTTTGCAACTAGGTTTAGCCATCAGAATGTATTTTGGCCACGGAATCTAAACACATGTTCACATAGCAAATTCCAGGAGCCTTCCTCAACGGACAGCTCACGGATGCTCTTCTGCATCCCCCTTCTTCATCCCTTTCTTCTGCAACCTACTGCCTGGAACACAGATATAATGGTTCTAGGCACCATTTTGGACCATGAGGACAAAGACCACCCTAGGGATGGGAGAATAATGAGCTGAAATGAGCCTGGTTCCTTGAAAACTTTACAGAGCAGAGCTGCCATGCTCACCCTAAGCTGCCCACCTCCAGAAATTTATGTGAGAAAAGAAAAAACGAAACACTTTTGCTTGTTTAAACTATTGTTAGTTTGGGTCTTTGTTATTCATAATCAAACACAACCTTAGGTAATGCACTTCCAGCCCTTCAGACTTGAAATAGAGACTCAGACTCTAAGTATATTCTTATAATATGTTTTCTAGCCACCTTGCTAAATACAGTGGGGGCTAATTATCTTTCAATATTTAAATTTCTCAGAAATGTCTTCTTTCAACACTCGCAAGTTTTAATCTCCCCTACCTTTCTCTGTAAATTGTGGGCGATAGTCTTGGTTTCAAGGACTGCATTGCTCTCGAGGCGGACCAGCTGCTCTGCGCGAGCTAAAACTACATCCAGACGCATGTCAGAGCCAAGTTCAGCAGCCATCTGGTCCAGTTTCATCTTCTCTGAGAGCTGATCCAGAAATTTAAGATACTAAACCCAAGAACAAAAATGAAAAAAGGGGCACAAGAGTAAAGTAAACAGATGATCATACAGAGTCCTTCTCTTTCTCCCAAGCTTACTGGGAGTTCGCACTAAACCCGGTATGGAGCCTGGCACCTGACACCAATGTCTGGTGATGACCTTCTGAACCAGCCTGCCAGTTCCACGCCCTGCTCCTTCTCCAAATTCTCTTGACTTTCCTGGTTAGTGACCTTGACGTTCAATCTAATATTATACTGCACTCTTTTTAACCCTGTCATGTCACAAATTTGGCATGCTCTACATCTGTATATTTCTGCTTTGGCTACATGCCACTTCCACCACGCTCCTTCCACGCCAATATAGCTCCAGAGATCCACTCATCCATGTACCTTTTTGGGGCGATTTTTTCCACCTACTTTGGCCCTTGGCTTCAAAGGTGGAAAATGATGACTTAATCAGTTACCACTTTACTCTTCTTGGCTTCTACGGATCACTCCAAAATTAATGATCTCCATATAAACTTGGACAATGTTTTGGTTTTCTAAGTTAAAATGCTTTAGAAAATGTCTTGAAGAGTTCTTAATGTATCTAAGTTAAAGGAACAACATTCTAAAATACAGCCATATCAAGGAAGTCAAGGTTCATATTTTAACAGGTTACACTTACAAAACTGTTCTAGAATCTTCCTCCACTTGCTTTCCGTGGCTTATCTGGCCATGCCCAGGCATAGAATAACGCTTACTAAGTGCTTGCTGGATGAGTAAATCAATCAACAAGATTTCTATACCATAATTTCATGATTTGTGTTTTATCTTTGAAATGTTCTCATTGCAATAACTCCTCACCCATCTGGCATTTTCAGGCAATTATATGTTTAAATAAGTATAATTTCCTGATGACTGAAGCATGCCAGCTTAAAAGCCCAGAACTATCTATATTTTAGTCATCAGGATGAAATTATTTCTAAGTGTATATTTTCTAATTTTGCTAAATAGCATTACATAAAATTGAATCTCTTCTTTATAAGTCACAGTCATTACAAATATCACTTATTTTACTGTGCTACAAGACAATAAGGTGCTTTTGTCTCTGATCATCATTTTGTCACTTAATGTTGTGTCTGCTCTCCACTTGGAATTTTCCATTTCTAACCTGTGTGAACAAAAGTGAAATAACTGCTATTGTTTTTATTTTAAATGAAATAGAGTTGGGATCTTTCACACAAGGTACAAAAGCCTCTTTTTCTATTTCTACATGTGGCCCGTCTACTTAGCATAGAAGGATCTACAACAGGCAGGACGGAATTAAGACAAGATTAAGTCAAGACACCACAATGGAAGCGCCTATTTTAAGGATCTTGGCAATGTCAGAAAGTCAAGGTTGCTGGAAGGATTACTGTATATTTCGTTCATTTGAATCACAGTTTAGAATGTATATATTCTTTTTTGTGGGGAAGGGGCACCTGGATAGCATGAATATATTCTATACTATTTTGTGTAAACCTCAATGACCTATATTTAAATCTAAATTCTGTATAACTTTGCTTTGCAATTTTACATGCTTAGGATCCCTATGAAGACATGCCTTTCATAGGCAGTTATATATGAAAAATTCACCATGGACAGAATCAGTTTACATAATTTACTTTCATAACTGAGAACTATTTTGGCACAATCTCAATCAAAATTAATGAGTCATTACAATGAAGGGAGGGAAGAGACACCAGTCTATCTAAAATTCATGCCTTTGATACATTTCTCCTATAATTTAAATAATGTTTATTGACTCCTCCCTAAGCCCTGGAGAAACCCAGGGAAAAGATTTCCCCTGGGCTCAAGCAGTGTGAAGTGGTTTGGAGAAGATGAATTAAAAAATCAATGAATAAGGGATATAAGTGGCATGGCAGACACAGGCACATGTTGCATGAAGGAGAACTAAGTCTCTTAGGGAAGACTTCCAGAGGCACTGATTCTGGAGCTGAGTCCTCAAGGGTCAGTTATTACAAGGTGAAGGAGGTAAAGAGAACATTTTCTCAGAGAGTACAGCAATGCGCAGTATGAGATGCTAAGGGAGCTCTCTTTCCTTTGGCCAGGCAACTGGCCAGCTTTTTACAAATTTGAATATGAATATTTTTGACCCAGGCATCACTCACCACACACCCTACCAGGGCCCTGCTGGTCCCAGGAGGCCTCTGAGTGAGTTTGCCACCATTGGCTGGAGAGATCTCAGGCGAGGGGGAGCCTGGAGAGGGAAACTGGCTGGGTCACAGAATGCTCAGCCCTGGAAAGAAGGAATCTGTAGCTGATGCTGAGGGTCGTAGAGAGCCCCTGACCAGTTTTAAGATGGAAAAAGATAAAATTAGACATGCATTTTATTAAGACCTCCCTGGCAGCAGTGGGAGAATCAGCTAGAAGGTTATTTCTGTAGTCCATGCAAATTATCATAGTGCTCTGAACTGAAGCACTGTTACTAAATACAGAAATGGGGGTGGCATCTGAGGCATATTAAGGAGATGGAATCTACAGTGCTTAGGAATGATTTAAAAGAGGGAAGCATTGAGGATCACTCTTGGGTTTTGGGTTGAACAACTGGAGGCAAATTATCTTGTCATCACTGAGGCAGGAAGGGGTAAATTTGGGGACAGGTAATCATTTCCATTTTGAATATGTTTAGTGCAAGGTGTTCATGGAACATCTATCTAGATGGAACAAGGTCCAGCAGGCATAGTTCCTCCAATTTAACATCTCATGCTCAGGTGCAGTATTTCCTTTCAAACTCAAAATTTCAACCAACGCATCTTTTTCAGCTATCTGATAGAAAAATTCCCTTCACTCTCCCAAATTTCTCAATTCAACCCCTTACCTTCATTCACAAAACCAATGCTTGGTCCAGACCCTTATTATCTTCCAATCTGGACTAAGAATCCCCCACGGGACTCCCAACGTTTAGTCTCTAGATGCTCAGAGCCAGTCGGCCTCCAGAGAAAACTTTCTTTTCCTCAAAAACCTTCTATGGCTTCCCATTGCGTACAGAATAAAGCTTTGAGTAATTAGCCTGTTCTATCTCTATTTTTCCCACCTGCCTCCAGAGCCACCTCATGCCTCTGGCCTCACCAAGCACCATTTCCAGTCCCCCTGTGCCTCATTCCTCTTCTAAGCAGTCCTGTCACCCTTCCATTCCTTGGTCCTTCCTGCTGTTCCCTCTACCCTGAATCTCTTCCCCACCTCTTCTGCCTCACAAATTCCTATGCATTCTTCAAAGCCCCTCGCGAATGTCACCTCTGGTGTGAAGATGGCTCATTTCCTCACACACAGAAACAAGAAAGAAGTAATTACTCCTTTATCTAAGTTCCTGTCAAATGTTATACCTACCTCTATCATAGCACTAATTGTACTAATTGTGTCCTGATTCCTCTGTCTCATCCACTGGACTAGGATTTCCCACAGATGCTTCTTGTGCATCTTTGCATATCCAACCCTCAACGTAGGCATGATGCTTCCTCAATTTTGTTTGAGTACAGAAGAATGAAAATGAATGAGTTTCCAGAGTACACACTTTTCAACCTAAGAGTATTTGGCAAGCCAAATTCTGCACCTGTGCTGTTGACACATTTGTCTCTCTTTCCCTTCCCCTACGGACTCCCATGCTTCACAGATACGTACCTTCCCAATCTGTTCAATAAAACCTTTCTTTGATCCTGTTTTTCACAGCTTCTGCTTCTGCCTCTTTTCTCTTTGGTCACCAGACTTCCTAGTAGTCTACTAACTCTTCCCTTACTAGTGGCTGTTCAGCCCAATGCAAACTGGCTTCTCTTCTCCGCCACTCTACTGAATCTGCCTCTCGGAGGTCATGGATGATCTTCCCATGGTCAAATCATAACTGTGGACCCCTTCTAATCTTCTGGGTAATTGCCATTGTCATTTCTGAGTCTCTCCATACTGCAATCTCAGCTCCACGATGACGTCACATTATCTTTCTAAAACATCGTGGTGTGTAAAAATCGCTTATTATATCTCATATTCTACAGAATAAAGAATACTCAATCTTCATAATTCCAAGCCATTCCAGTCTTCTTTCCTGCCATAGCCCCACCAAGAATGTCACATTCAAGCCATATGAGAATAATCATTCTGCAGTCTCTGAAGGTAATGTTATGTACTTGCGAGCTTTTGCGCAATTTTCCCTACAGTCTGCCCCTTCTCTTCACTAAAATCTTATCCTTCAAAGATGAACTTAATGATTTCCTTCCCTGTAAAATCCTCCCCTTATCCAGAAGTTATCCTTCCTTTCACTGCTCCTATAGCACTTTATTAATCAATACATCTCTCATAACACTTATAGTCTTACAGTACAGCAAATTATTTGAATGTCTGTCTTCTTTATTGAATTATGGGCCTTTTAAGATCAAGAACTATATGCTATTCATACTTCAGTTTCCAAACCTTCAGGGACTCATATATAATAGGTGTTCAATAAATACCTGTTGAGTTTAATTGAATTTAATTGAATTAATTTCAATTAAGGAAGCTTCAAAGAATAGGAAGAGACCCCAAAAAATATCTACCATGCTTTGAAATTTACTTAGGACTCAAAACTTAACCAATCTACCAAAGTACCATACAATTAGAACGTTTTCAGGTAAAATTTTATACTGCAACAGACACTTCCACCCATGGACGTGTCCTCAGGTTATTACTTTTTGTTTCTCAAACGTCAAGTTGTCTCTCAAAACATCTCCAGAAATCAGCTCTCCCTCCAAATGTGTCAGCTGACCCTGAAGAGCTTCCAGCTTGTCTTCGGCTTTCTCGGCTCTCTGTAGAGCTTTCTGGTGAAACCCAGACTCATTTCCCAACTGTTCAACAAGCTCCGATATTTGGGCTTCAAGCTGGGAGACCATCTGGAAACAAAGCAACAGAACAAGGATAAGCTTTGTTTGAGATGCAACAAAGTGTTAAAATTTAGTGCTCAGCCCAAGCAACATGACTATTTATAACACCAACTTCCAGATTCTTTGTAAAAATTAAATAAAAACAGGTAATCGGTAGATGTATTTGCCTCTGCTTGAAATAAATCTGTATTTGCTTTCTAATAAAGCACTTTCAATTGGTATTTTTAATTTTTATGTAATTCCTTAAACGGGTTGCTCAATAATTATTACAGATGATATTTACTTATCCTAAAACAGCCATTAATTTAGGAGTTTCAAAGCTTAGTAGGAAAGAGCTCAGACAGAAAATACCTTAAAAACCTATAAAAGTGTCATTGGCCAGAGGAACTCTCCCACCACACACAGTGGATTAAAGATTATACAGTGAGTTCATCTTTATAAGCAACCTTCAGGCTTGATCAGGAATTCAAGAGCATAAAGATATTTTTTCAAGCTTTTTGTCAATTTTCTATTGAATATTGGGTACTCATGCACTCAACTTCAGTGGTTCTGCCCCTGTGCCGAATAGTTATCCCGTAATGTTATCACTTTAGCATTTGAAAGGTCAAAATTCCTTTAACGTGGTGACTCTAAATAGGGTCAATGGCGACGCACAAGAAGGCAGGAGACTCTGATTACCCCCTCCTCTTCTATGGCATAAAATCACTGCTTCTCCAATAAAGACCCCAAGACTCTTCACAACCCCCAGAACTTGGCTTCTCTTAAACCAAGATGTAAGTTTACCAAAGACCTCAGGTACACTTTGAGAATACTCAAACTGATTCTACCAAATCGAGTTTTCATAAAATATTGAATTCAATAAAAACACCAAGTTTGAGGGGGTAAATTTGTCATTTTTATGGTTTGTTTTAGAAGAGAAAAGGAAAAATGTAATAGATATTTGCATAGTACCATTTTCACAGAGATGGAAATATCTTGATGGTTTCAGATTTACAGTCTCAGTCTAAAAAAAAAAAAATTCTGCTTGCCTCTCTATAAACAACCATGCTTAAAGGCAAGAAGACATTCAAGCTGTCTTCAAATATTTGGAAAGGCTGTTATATGGAAGAAGCACAGAAGTTGTTCTGAGTTGCCCACAGAGCTCAAGTCGAGGACCAACAGGTAAAAATCACAGGAGGAATTCCACTGCAGTGTAAGGAAGGCTTTCCCCTGGTCCCCACAATTTCAAAGTAATACGTGCCCATTGTAAAAGATTCATTAAAAATGAAAAAAAGTATAAATAAGCAAAAACTAATCCCCATTATCCCACCACCCAGAGGCAACAACGATTAATATTTTTAAATAATTTATTTGTAAGCATTGCTAAAATATAGTTGAGACAGTATTATATATGCACTTTTGCATCTTTGGGGTTTTTTGGGTTTTTTCCTTTTTTTTTTTTAAGGTATGCTTTTTTGGGTGAGGAAGATTGGCCCTGAGCTAACGTCTGTTGCCAATCTTTCTCTTTTTTTTTTTCTTCCCCAAAGCCCCAGTACATAGTTGTATATCCTAGTTATAAGTCCTTCTAATTCTTCTATGTGGGATGCTGCCACAGCATGGCTTGATGAGCAGTGTGTAGGTCTGTGCCCAGGATCCAAACCAGCAAACCCAGGGTTGCGTCACTGAAGCAGAGCGCATGAACTTAACCCCTATGCCACCAGGCCAGTCCCTGTATCCTTGTTTCTATCTTATATTTTAAGCATCAATCCATGTCAAATAATGGCTTCTCAGTCTCTGGAGATGGCCAGAAGTTGGCCAACCATTTGCTGAGAATGTTACGAGGTAGCCTGAAATGCTACAATCAGAAAGTTAGACTACTTGCTCTCTAAACTCTCTAATCTGTGTGTCCGTGGCTCTCAAGGTCCCAGGCCTATAATTCAATTCAATCTATTTTCCTCTGGCCACTTGAAATCAGATATTTGATGACAAGCTGCTCAGCAGCACATCCAAGGAATGGTATTTCCTAAGGAAATTTCAAATTTCACTATAGAATATGAGTCTCTGAGAACGCTCATTTCATGTTTCCTTCCCTTAGTACTTACTAACTAATAATGGATCTGATTTTAACCTTGGCACAATACAAAGCAACCTACAAAACAGGGGCCATCAACCAACTTCCCCGAGATACTGCCCCCTGCGGGGCTGTTTAATGATATTCTAAGATACAAAGTACGACACACGCTTCTGTGCAGCGGGAGATGTGGTTTCACCTTGGACTCCAAATAGGAAGGGCGTCTTTCTACCTGAAGAGCCTTCAACAGTTCTATCCACCTGTTGACCTAGCAAAGAGAATGAAACCAAAGAGAAAACAGACGCAGGAAACCTCAGCTGGAGAGATGGAGAATTACGCGATCACTTAGCCACAGTCAGCCTGCTGCAGAGCTTACCAGAAGGAAGCAAAGTCTTCCATGGAAATTAATCAGTAAAGACTTCATTTTGAAGATGACACCACGAGCAATGGCAGGAAGCTAGACTAAGGGAGTGATAATGACCCTGAAGGAAGAAGCAGACGTCCTGATGTAGACCAGACCATGGGACAGGGACTTTGGACTCAGAGAGTCCTGGTTTCAAGTTCCCCAGTCTATCACTTGCCAGCATGTTAGCTGAAGCAAGTAATTAACCTCTCTGAAACTTACAGACTCTGCCATGATGATTACATGAGCTACTTCAAACAATTTGAGTAGCATGATGTTTCATACCCAGTTGAAGTTCAGCATGTTGCATCCATTTTTTTTAACATGGTTCTTGCCTTCTTTTTTTTTTTTTGAAGACTGGCTCTGCGCTAACATCTGTTGCCAATCTCCCTCTTTTCTTCTCCCCAAAGCCCCAGTACATAAATGTATATCCTAGTTGTACATCATTCTAGTTCTTCTATGTGGGATGCCACCACAGCATGGCTTGATGAGCCAGGCTAGGTCCGTGCCCAGGATCTGAACTGGTGAAACCCTGGGCTGCCAAAGTGGAGCACATGAACTTAGCCACTCAGCCACGGGGCTGGCCCCACATTGCATCCATTTTTATCACCAGTATTACTATTTCCAGTATGTGGGTTGAGTCAATCCTAAGCTTTTGTCGTGAGAGTTAAAGGACTCCTTCCAGGAATTGTCCTATGTCATGTTTCTCAAACTATTTTCAGTCTGTAGAAACTGTTTTCAACTAGAAGTCTTTCTGTGAAGGACAAATATGGGGAAAATGTGCTTGAATCAAAGGAGGGTGGGTCCCTCCCGCATCCTCACCCTGTGTGGACCTGAAAGTGTTCCAAGGAACCTGAAGGCTCAGCAGAGCACAACTTTTAGAGCCGCCCTTATGCAGACGGCTGGACGTACAGAATCTACCCAGTCGCCCTCGCAAGATTCTGGTGTCCAGAGAGGAGCGAACAGCTGAGCAACTCCCCATATTGCACACATCACAAGACTTAGCTTCCTAAGGTTATTTAGATCTCAGTGCATATGGTACCACCAAGTTTTTTCAGAGCCAAATTTACATAAATTATTCAAATAAATTAACATTCCAATCTGACTCATTCTCAGGACATCAAATGCTGGTGCTCGGGTGAACATATGCATCCTGCCAAAACTGTAAAGTTGTGCTGTGTTTTTCACACCAAGAAGTCTAAAGAATCAATAAGCTTTTCTTTTCCTCTTTTCTTCAACATCATCTGTTAACATGTCCCCGATATTCTGTGAGACAAAATGTATCAGGGATTTCAACACTAGAGATGTAGGGAATGGCGAGCAGGTTGTGATAAAGAATACAGACCTCAATTTTTTTTTTTTAACAAAAACGGCACCGAAGTAAACTATACTTCAAAAACAAGCAGCTTGGTTTTTGGAAATGAAGTCATAGTGCCCTAAAAAGAATTAATTCATTTCCCAAGGACAAGTACTTGTCGATTTTGCCAGAGAGGCATTTCTTCCCTAAGATTAAACCAAATGGAAGCACGAGAGCTATAAACTGAACAAAGAGCCACTTGGGTCCCTTAAGAACCAGTGCCTTTTGGGCATAAACAACTCTTTTATGATTATGCAAGCTATCATGTTCACTTAGGAAATATATGAAGTAAGTTATCAGGAACCAGGAATATAACATCAATCAAATTCTCCTTCCTTCTTGTCAGTATGTGTGGTCAGCACTATTGACTGACTAGCCCTCCTCCCCTTTGTGGGTGTCAACTTTTGTTATGGGTTGAATTGGCTCCACCAAAAAGAGACATGTTGAAGTCCCTTAGTACCTCAGAATGTGACTTTATTTGGAAATAGACTCTTTACAGAGACAATCAAGTTAAAATGAGGTCATTAGGGTGGACCCCAATCCAATCTGGCTGGTGTCCTTATAAAACAGGGCAATTTAGACAAAGAGACACACACAAATAGAAGGAAAATGATGTGAAGACACGGAGAGAATGCCATCCATAAGCCAAGAACTGTCTGAGGCTATCAGAAGCTCGGTGAGAGGTATGGAACAGATTCTCCCTCACTGCTCTCGGAAGAAACCAGCCCTGCTGACACCGTGACTGTGGACTTCCAGCCTCCAGAACTGTCAGACAATACATTTCTGTTGTTTAAGCCACTTAGTTAGTGGCACTGTGTGATGGCCATCCTAGGAAATTAATATACTATAGAAGCTGGGAAAGCTATAATCTCTGTGCTCCCTCTCCCAGATGCCCTTGTAGCCAGGGGTGACCGTATAACATAATTTTGGACAATGAAACGTCAGTGGAAGTCTGCTGAAGCTCCTGGGTAAACGTCTGGTTTAGTATATTGGAGAATTCAGAACCGAGCAGAATGATGAGATCAGAAGGGGGCGTCAGGGAGTTATGGAGCACATCTCTGGTCCTTTCGGGCATCAGATTGCGTCCCCACAGCTCCCACAGGGCCGCTGGACTAAGAAACCCTCCAGTGGAGGAAATATAACCTTACTCGTGCCCTAAAGCGAACAAAAGAGCAGTCTAGATGAACGGTGGTGAGCTTCTATCAATTTGTCTTTAAGTTAGGAGATGACATAGAAATCGATCATGTCATGTCCTCTCTGTACGTAATCAATTCTCACCTGGATCATCAGCCAGTTACAAAACATCTAAAAGTAAGAAAAAGATTTTTGTCTCAAAATTCTAAACTGAAATCTGAAAATGTCACAACTTTCTGTCGTTGTGCAAATCGCTATTTCAAAAAACACCTGCTACACGTGTCCTCAAATTTCAAGGCTAAATAACATCTAAATATTCATTTGGAATTTCTGGGAACCCAACAGTGGAATATTCTTCTAAAAGAGTGGTTTTCAACTGGGGGCGATTTTGCCCCCCAAGGACATTTGGCAATGTCTGGAGACATCTTTCGTTGTCACAAATTGGGGAGAGAAAGGGTTCTATTGGTGTCTATTAAGTAGAAGCCAGAGATGCTTCTAAACATCCTACAGTGCCCACAACAAAGGACTAGCCAGCCCCAAAGGTCAAAGGTGCCAAGGCTGAGAAATTCCGTTCTGAAATACAGTAAAGCTTCCAAAAAGGAAATCAGATTTTGCTATAAGCAGGAAAGCAAACGACAAGTAGAAATGACCTACTGAAAAAGTGTGGGTGGTGTCCGGAATTCTACTGAGAATTGCAAACACAGGAGAGTGAAAATGACTAACAAAGGGGTAAAAAGAAAAGCAGCGTTCAGGCGGTAGGAGCTGACAAGTGAAGTGGAGAATTTGCCAGGCCCAAGCTGAACCACCATTGGCCTTCATATGGGTATTACTCAACTGTCAACTGTGTGTTTAAACCATGGCAGCTGGCAAGGGGAGGCAGCCTCCTCAACAAACAGACTCATCAATTTGTAAAGCTCCCATTCTTCGGAAACATTTCTAAGACAATATACGAAATCCATTTTCTCCTGATTTTACTTGAAGATGAGTCACCCAAGACACCAGCTATATGCTTGATTTCAGGCTTTTAAATAGTGAAAGCAGCTATTGAAAAAAATTACAGGGTAGCAGAGGCAGACAAAGGCACTGAAAAGACTCTGAATCATTCTAATTTTTATGGGGAGTGGGGGAAGGCGCATCCAGCTTAACCAATTTACATCATTTTGCTTTAGAAAATAAACATATACATCATGCTGACAATTTTATGCCGTGTTACACAAGCTGGAAGGAAAATAGTTTTAGGAAAACATTTGGAGAAGTAGAAGGAAGCAACAAAATGAAATGGCACAGAACCATTAGCTATTGAAGAACGTCTATTACTATTCAAGGTAAATAACTTGATGGAGTTTTTCTCAGTCCTGGAAATAATCTCCTCCCCCAGTCCAGCACCTATGTGTGTACCGAATCACGAGAAAAACTAGTTACTCTCAGAGACCCAAACATGGTACAGGGATGGACGTTTTATATCCACAAAGGGAATCTGATGCTCAGACAAAGGAGTCGCCAGGGTTGCTCCTACAGCACACGTGAATTTTGGAGAATTTCTAAAGGGAGTTCAAAGTGTTTTATTGTTAAAGAAAATTTAGAAATGCGACCCTGAACTTTGAGTCAGTGATCTCTCCAAGTTTCTTAGGAACAATAAAAGATGGAAAAGTGCATTTTCTCTTTTTGAGCAAAGCATGAACTCAGTAGAAGAAATAGTCTCTCATGGAATTATACATAGAATTTGGATATTATTTACTTTAAAACCTCATTACGTAGGACTTCAGCAATTTAAATTTGATGATAATTTAAATAGAGTCGGGCTGAAGTTGACTCTGCTAAGCAAAGCTTTATAGAAAATGAGAATTATTAATAGTATAAACAAGATAAAATTTAAAAAGCTTCAGTGGTTTATGTGAATTAAGCCATTTTTCTCCACTTGTTAAATGGGTCCCCTAAAAAACTGTTCTGGGCACCAACGTATTGCAAACAGGAGGAGGAGAGCGAGGACAAGAAAGGGCAACAAGAGTTATTATTTATCATTGTCATTTGCCAGAAAGTGGATTAAGGACTTCACAACTTTTTTTTTCGTTTAATGCTTACAACAAGCCATAGCCTTATGAGGCACATACTGTTACAGGTCTAGGAACCCTTCAGTGCAATTCTAAACTCCAAAAGGAGCTGAAAACTCACAGTTTTTTTCCATAACGCATTTGCTGGCAGAGCTTGACCTGGCTGGATTTGGCAGCCAACCCTGACCTGAGGTGACCTGAGGCTATTCATAGTCCGGGTGAATCCCAGTGGTAGAGTTGCTCCCGGTTTTGCTGTAGAACCGTGAATGTGGCTGATTATGGGGTGCTGCCCCAGACCCCAATGAGGGTGAATGCATAAGACTGCTTTCTCTATTATCTTTCTGTGTACGATTTTATCTTTGTAAACCCTAAAACATTCTGAGTTCAAAAACACATTGGGCCCCAAGGGTTTCAGATAACCTGGGCTGTCCCTGTACAGCAGGTGAGGAAACTAAATCTCAGAGGCTGGAATCTCAGGACCTGCCCCAGGTCACCCCTGGAGTGAGTGAGTTTGCAGTAGAGACAGGATTCAGCACGGGGTCACTCTGACTCCAGAACCCGCATCGTGGTTAGCTATCACTTGAGTGACTGTCCGGGCTTGGTAAGTATGACGTATAATTGAAAGTCATAAACCCACATTTAAATGATACTTTGAAGTAACTTAGACATCTCATTTATTGAGATGCTAAATGAATGAGTTTACTGTGCTTAAAAAACTTAGAAGCCGCCATTACCCACTCACCCTTTTCCTGCTCTCTTCCTGGCTGCCCATTTCTCGAATCCCCTCCAGGATGGCGTCCTCGGTGGACCTCGTCAGGCCCATGCTACCCTTAAGGAGGGCTGCGATTTTCTCCCTGAATGAGGAGCGCTGGCTTTGGGAGGCCGCGGCTGCATCCACACTGGCCTTCAAACTCTTCTCCAGTTCGCAGGAACTTTTCTTCAACAGGCTCAGCTCCTGCTTCGAGGCCTCCCAGACCCGCTGGCCAGCAAGCAGCCTTTCTTGGAAGATCTTAACTTCCCTTTCCAGAGCTTCTTTCGCCTCCACAGCACTGAGCAAGTCCTAATATAACCACAGACAGTGAAGACAGTAACATTAGCAGCCAATTAGGGACATGTGCATTTTCTTATCACTTACTTTGCTTACTAATGACCTCAAGGAGTTAAGAGTTCAGTGCTCATTCCATTTTTAACTCTAAGTTTCCTATCCTCTATTCATAAAGTTATTAAACTGTAAAGGTGATGTCAGGTTAATTTAGGTGTCTAAAAGAGAAAAGGGATGTTAAAAAAAAAGAACACTGACATATAAGCCTTTTCTTTGTGGACCTCTAGAAAGAGTTAATAAAAACAAATTGTTGGCTAACATGCTAGTAGATTCAGTCCAGAGGTAGCATATGCTTACAGAACTGTCTGTTCTCGAGCTTGGTACACATGGAAATTGATTTTGAGTAAACCATAAGCCCTAACTAGGAACCAAAAATTATTTGAATAAAGATGTCTCCTTAATACTATTCTAAATAATAGAGTAGGATTCTCCTAAAGACATCACTGTGTAAAGAAGAATCAGATTTTTCTTTCAATATTCGTTGACTATGTATCCTCTTGTCTCATAAAGACAAGACTGATGCCAATAAAACCTGAAGGAGATGAAACAACTAGCCATTTGGTGGGTGGGAGGACTGAAAACAGAGGGAGATAAAGTACCACACTGAGAAGAATAATTTTAACTAATATAATACGTATGATTAGGTTCATAAAAATAATGCAGGGCATTGGGAAGGTTCTCTGCACACCTACTTCTATTTGCCAAAATCCAGAATGATCCCAAGAGTCATGAAAGGGCCATCTTTAAAATTATTATATAAAAAAAACACATGTTGACATCAAGCTCCACAAGACATGAATTCACATCAAATAAGATTAAGCAGTTGGTTAACCACTGCTATAGTATTGCAGCCTAGTTAACTGGCAAAAAATATTTGGTTTTTTATTAAAAATAGTATGTTGGGGCGGGGAAAGCTTCCAAGATGGCGCCGTGAGTAGTCCTCTTTGTCTCTCGCCCTTCGAGTCTACAATTATTTGGACACTTATCGCTTGACAAAGGATATCCAGACAGCATCTCAGGACGTCTGAGACACCCACGCGACTATACATCGGAAGGTGGACGGACTTTCCTCCGGGAGGATGTGGAAATAGGTGAAAACTCTCCGACCCCGACGGGCAGCCTAGTACCCGCAAGCGGCTTTCTTCCAACGGACGCCCCCAGAGGATCCACACACATCTAGGGCAGGAGCGAGAACACAACAGAGGAGCGACGGTGGAAACAGGTGACCAGAACCCTACTTAAACCCCCCGCAATTACTCCTAAACGCAGAGGGAAACTTTGGA